TATATATATATATATATATATATATATATATATATATAACCTGCATTGTTTACTTGATGCTTTCTTTTATTCCTAATTGTGACAAATATCTACACACCGCAGTAACACAGTCATAAACAAAAGGAATATTTACAGTAAACATGAATATAAAATTCTAATCCATATACATTTCTTCCAATTTTTTCAGTCAGGATAAAAGAAGAAACTTTTTTTTATACATACAGTATAAATAAGAACGATAAAATGTTACAGATAATAATAGTTTCACCACAATATCACCAGTAAAGCCCCATTTTGTATGTCGATTTTGTAATATAGGTATGATTGTGTGAAACTTTTTCATTTTTGTGTAAACTTGTTTGATTCTCCAGTATTTGGACCTAAAACTCAGTGCTGCCCCCTGTGGGTTCAAACTTTGCTCCTGCAGTTGAATTTTTCTGTTGGTTAAAACGTAACAGCTTGGCGGTTGTCTCTGCCTTAGCCCCCCTTTTTGATTTGGGTATAATAATGCGTTAGATTTATCTAAGACCTGGGGAGTCAGGATGCTTTAGTTTTCATATACATGGCTACTACGGGGGGCTATTACATCATCAATGAAAACAACACTGTTCTACATAGTATTCCGGTTTACGAGTACAACTTGAATGCAACATATAACCATTTCAGTCAGAAACAGAGTTGGGTTTGTTGTAGTAGGGCTATTATTAAATAGCGTTTTTCATGTGAGTATTTTATTGCGCATTAATTAGCAAAACTTTTAATTTGAGGTACTTAGATTATTTAGTTATATCAATTTCGTGTCACTTTCCCTTATCCTAACTACACCCCTGATTGAACCCCTCCGCTTTTCGTCTCTGTATCTGGGCTCCACCCTCTTCTGTGGTATTATTCAAAATGTGTCTGGGGGCGGTGTAATTCGTTTACATCGGTTTAGTTACATTTCAATAGCAGCTTCATCTTTTTCAAAGCTGTGAAACGTTTTGTTCCCTTTGTGGTCTGACACTCACACATGGATCCTACGCTCTCAAACACACCATTACACCAACAAACGCCCCTGTTAAACCCCCAATTTATAGATTGGACTGGAACAAGCTCCATCTTTATAGATAGTCCTTTACAAAATA